CAAAGTCAAGCTAGCAGAGAAAGTCTGTGCTGCGTTGGAGCCTTTGGGTTTCAAGAGCCCTGCTGAGTTCTATTGGGCACTCAAAGATGGGGCGGATGATACCATTGAAGCAATTCTCGATGCGGCTGGAATTGATCTTTCATCGGCCCCCTCGAAACTTCAGTGTGTAGAAGCTGGACGATTGCGTCGTCTGTTGTCAGAATGCAAGCTTGTGTGCGAAGCCCCGCAGCCTGGCCCACCAACGCCAGCTGAAAAGATGGCCCCTTCACTTCTTGGCATGGATGTAGGGCCTCGGTTGTCCGGTGATGTGTTACAACAGCTTTGGTCTGAATTTGCAAAGAAATACCCGGCAGAGGTAGTAGAGGGCGATGCTCGCCCCGGGAAAGCATTGGTGCAAATGGTTTATGCGCAAAAATGTCAACAAGAGTTGAAATACATTCCTTGGAAAAGGATCTTGAGTGAAGCCCAAGCAGACCGAGTCAAGCAAGGTTCTACCAAGCGAGATCGTTCCTTTTTAGACCTTCTGGCGGATGCGGCAGGGCACGCTGACCCACCCGAGCAAGAGCCATCTCCTTCGCCGTTTGGGGTTCAACGCCTGTTGATGTTGCGTGCGGTGACTTGATAGGATGGTGTCATTTAGGAGGAGCTCGTCGCCTAGTTCACGCTTTCATGGAACTGTATGGTGCTCATGGCTTGCATGCAGTGGGCCTGCGGGGTCCCTCCTTGGTTGAAGCTGAAGCGGCAGATGGGGAGATCTGTCGCCAATTGAATGCGCTGCTGGGCGCTGGCTTCAGCTTAGATCAAGCCCTACATGAACTAGTTGCCGTGCGAAATTGTCTTCACATTTGGTTGCAGCCGAGGCCAAAACTGCTGCCGCAATCCGATTTGTACAATAAGAAAGGGAAGCGGCCGTTGCCACAACCTGCTGGGAAATCTGCGAAGATCAAAAACGCGCATACTCCAGGGCTGGAGGCGCCCCGTGCAAAAAAGGTATGCTTTGCATTCAAGAAGTCTGGCAAATGCAGCTTTGGTGAAAATTGCCGATTTGAGCACGCTGAATGACTATCAAAGGAGCCCCAAGTGGCAGAGTTTGATGCTTCCGCAGCCATTTGGTCGTCAGGTGACAATCCATCTGTGTGTCATCGGCAGCCGCCTGCAGAAGCAGAGGTGATGACAAGGTCGGAGTTAGATTACTGTGGGGTGCCCGTCCCAGACGGAGGGGGAATCTGCTCTACGGCTGATTGGTTCCAGCCGCGGGTCAAGGACGATTTATTTCGTGATCTTCGCCGCAGGTTTGAATCTTTGGCTATGGAATGGCGTCTAGTTCCCCGCCTGATGGCGCACGTCTCTAACCCCACGGATGCTGAGCTGCTTTCTGCTGAAGAAGTGTTACACTTGCGTGAAGAGATTGTTGGTTTTTTGCGTAACCATGGTTTTTCTTGCAACGGTGATGTCGAACCCAATCAGCCTTTTCTGCTTTCCGTTTGGCAAGCTTTGGCCAAGATGACTGTTGATGTTGATCCACATCTTCCCAACATTCTTTCAGAAGGGGTTCCTACAGGCATCGAATCCCCGATTTCACCTTCTGGTGTCTGGGATGCAGTAGATTTTGATGGAATGGCACCTGAGCCTGAGCTGGTTCCTTGTGATCTTTTGGTTCACCTTGAGCCTTGGCGCTCGGCAGCTGAAGATTTACCCCTGGCAAAACAGTTGCTTCAAAAGGATATTGACGCTGGTTGTCTCATGCATTTACGTGGAGGTGAAGCGGAAGCGAAGGAACGCTGGGGGGACAAGATTGCTGCAGGTAAATTGGGCTTGGTGAAAATCCCGGGCAAGAAACCACGGTTGATTGGCGATGCCACGGTTTCTGGTGCAAATTCGCGCTGCGTGATTCTGGAAAAGATTCGCTTGCCCACTTTGAGCTGCGTGCAAAGAGTTGCTAGCGCAACGCCGCTTGACAAACTTTTTTCTGCCTTTTCCTTTGATATTCGTGGAGCCCACAAGCTAATTCGTGTACGACCTGCAGAACAAGGGTATAGCACTTTTGTTTTGGATGGAGAATGGTATACCTACCGAACCTGTTTTTTTGGCTGCCGCTGGGCGGCTTACTGGTTCTCGCGTGCTTCTTCATTTCTTGTGCGACTCTTGCATCGCTGGGTTTGGATACCACACGCATTGTGGGTATATGTTGATGATGGCCTCCTCTTGCTTCCCGCTGATGTGGCGCCGCTGGTTGCAACTACTTCATTGATGTTCTTGCTGTCGATCGGTATGCCGATCAGTTGGGAAAAATTGCAACTGGGCACTGCTATTTCCTGGATTGGGTGGGATTTCCATTTTTCCAATGCTACAGTTTGTTTGCCTAACGCGAAGAAGCAGAAGTTGCAGCAGTTGCTTTCTTGTCTCATGGTAGAGAACCGGCGGGTTGAACGTAAGCTGGTGGAGCAAGCTATCGGCCTTTTGCTCTGGTATTGCGGGGGGGCTTCGTGGCTGAAGCCGTGGCTGCAATGCTTATATAACTTATTGTTCAAACCCTTGTGTGTATTTCGTGCCTTGTTGCCCGCGCAATTTGAATGCATGCGTGGCTCACTGGACCCCAATCTACGTTTGAAGCATAGCTTTTCGCAGTGGGACTTACAGCAGGGTTGGAAGTTACATTCAGTAAGTAACTGTGCTGTGCGTGCGCTGAGCGATGTCCCGCTTCAGACTCCGCGTTTGAAACGTGGTGCAATTGATTGCGTTTTCTATGACTATAGCAGTGCCAAGGTGCGAACCAACAAGATCTCGATCGATGCGGCCACTTTGTTTTTCAATGCTGTTTCCGTGCAAAACCGCTTCCCCTGCGTTGCACTCAGGTGGAACATGGCTTCGGCGCTGCTGATGCATTTGCTGATTCTTCATCTTGCGGTGTAGGAGGATGGTGGTGCCCCTCTCACGTGGCTCCATCCCCACAAACTGTTTTGTGGTTTAGTATTCAGTTTCGCGCCAAAGATCTTCCAGCATGGTTACAGTCCGAAAATTTGCAGTCATTCATTACATCTTTTGAAGCTTTGGCACAGCTGCTGCTTTTGCTGGGGCGACTTCGGCATTTCACACATCCAGGAAATGCGACAGTGGTTTTGCAACAACTGTGTGACAATAATGGCGTGGTGGCATTGACTCGCAAACAGTTGACCATGAAGGCACCCATGTGCTATGTGCTGCAAGCGATTGGGTTTTATTGCTGTCAGCATGGTGTATCTTTGTCATCGCAGCATTGTGCGGGTGCTCGCAATGAGTGGGCTGATGCCCTGAGTCGTGGCTGCTATGAAAAATTCAACGCAGCTAATAGAATGGAGTTTGATGTGTGTTCCATTCTTGAAAAGCCTTGGAATGGCGCCGGGCACACTGCGTGTGGGAAGTTGTGAGACTTTAGTGCCCTGCTTGATCAACACCGTTGTTGGGGCTGGTGTGGTGGAGCTGCTGCTGCCCAGCAGCTGCTCCACCTGTGTGTGATCAAGCCAATCCATGAAAAAGGATTAGTGCTCTGGTGGTTGGGCAGGAGTCAGGTTTATTCACCTATTAGTATGTTCCTGGTTTGTGATGCATGCTAGTGAAGTTTGTAGAGGTGCTGTTTTCATGTGGGCTTGCACACATGAACACCACTCTCTCTAACTTCACCTTGCATACCTTGTTTGTTTGTCGGGATTTACCCTGTTGTTGCTTCATGAGTTGGCTGAACATGCTTTGCAGCTAGTGGCAAGCCTGGTTGGGCTAGTAGTTGTTCATCTCTCCTTTCCCTGAGAGGTAGTGCTTTCCAACCCGCTTGCCTGTTTGTTGTTTTCTCTTTTCCACCCCACCCCTCCCTGCATTGGTTCACGGGTTGTTACCCTCCACATTGCCACCTGTTTGGGGCAAGTTTGGATTAGGCCCCCTGGCCTTGATTTTGTGACAGGCAATTTTTTGTCAGGTGTTTATGAAGTTGCTTGCTGATGGTGCAAGCTGTAACATGGGCACTGAAAGATTTTTTGCCTATGTTTGGGATGGAGCCCAAGTGCTCATGGCCCTGCGGGGCTGGTGTGGTGGAGCTGCTGCTGCCCAGCAGCTGCTCCACCTGTGTGTGATCAAGCCAATCCATGAAAAAGGATTAGTGCTCTGGTGGTTGGGCAGGAGTCAGGTTTATTCACCTATTAGTATGTTCCTGGTTTGTGATGCATGCTAGTGAAGTTTGTAGAGGGTGCCTTTTAGTAGAGTGGGTTGGAAATCAGCTTTTGATGCATGCCTGTGGAGCTATCATGGGAACACACGTGGCCGTGCTGGCCTTTGTCAAGGGGCTGCTTGAAGGTCACTGGTTACGGTGGGGGATCTATTAAAAAAGTGAGTGCATGAAATCTCTCGGTCGTGGCAGTATTGCAGAGCCTGTTTCGGTTTTTGGGGTGTTGAAATCGCATTTGACGGCACAATGGTTTGCGGGTCGACACGCAGGGGCGAGTAGTGGGATTCGATAGCACCCTTATCGTTGAATGTTGCAGTAGGTGTAGTTGTCTTCGTTGTGGTGCTAACTTTACTTTGGGCAACATAACTGGACGACCCGGGTTCGAATGTTCATCATGTTTCTGGATGCCTTACTTTTATGTGAACTTGGTCCACTTGATTGGTTGTGACTTGATCTCTGGGTGAGTCATGAGTTTCCATGATGTGCTTCGCGTGTGGACACACGGGACTACATTAGAGATAGGACCTCTGGCTGTTCATGTGGGTTTGCATGAAGTTTATCGCCTGTCATGTGGACACATGAGTTTCGATTTAGAGATGTGAGTCTCTTGCTTGTCATGTGAGATTACATGAATGTTTGGACCTGTCATGAGGATTCATGACAAGATTGCTAGCTGGCCACTAGCGGTTTGGGCGTAACGGTTTGGTTGCGCGTTTAGCGTAACGGATTGGTTGCGCGGAGGGCCGCGGCGTTGGTGATGTTCAGTGTTTCTTGAGCATTTCTTCTTGTTGTTTGCTGCTTATCAATGGATTCTGGCACCGAAGCCTCGGAGTTGGATCCTTCAGATATGGAGGAACGGGACTTGTGGGCCAAGTTGCCAAAGAAGTTCCGAGCACAGGTGGGAAAATCTGAAGGCCAATTGCCGCGCGATGAAATTCTTGGTTTTCTGGTGGACAGCGAAGCAGAAGCAATCGAACTCATGGCTGATTTTGCTCCAGGGGACGGGCTTGCAGGTCGTGTCTTGGTGGAGCTATGGAAACGTGTGCTACCTCGAACACAAAGGTTGTGTCAACGTCGAGGACGCGTGGATCCTGCTTTGCAATCATTAGTTGTGGCTTCTGCAGCTCCACTTGTGGCTAGCGCCGAAGCACAGCATACCTTGTCTTGGTTGAAACGGCAGTCAGGTGCTTGCCGTCAGTGTCGCGGTTGGTCCGCTAGACAGCGCCGCGAGTCATTACATAGGCCACCACTACAGTCGCGAGAAGCTTTGGAAGCTGCTGAGCTGAATCGTTGGCGTGCCAGTCTAGCCGAGTTGGTGATTGAAGCTGGTTTGCCGGTGTCCCACCATGCACAGCTGACTTCCAACCCTGAGGCCATCATTGCTGCGTCCTTAGGTAGCATGCGAGCAGCAACTATTCGAAAACGGGTGCGCGAATGGCGAAAAGTGAGGAATTTCTCTTTGCAACTGTGCGGGCAGCCTTGGCCTCCACATGTAGGTGTTGTGCTAGATTACCTTCATGAACGAATGGAGGAGCCTTGTGCCCGGACCGTGCCTGAGGCAGTGCTTGGAGCATTAGCATTCATGGAAAAGGCGGGCAGTGTGGCAGAAACAGAAAGACTAGCCTCCGCCCCGGTGCTGCGAAATTTTGTCAATCAAGCAACACAAGATTTAGAGGTGGGAGCGCCACCAAAGAAGTCCGCCCCCTTGTTGCCAGTGGTTTTGATTGATGCTTTGGAGCTGATGGTCATGTGTAAGAGTGAGCCTCTGTATGCACGTGCTTTGGCTTGGTATAAGCTGCTGAAACTGTGGACTGCAAGCCGCACCGGAGACCTGTCATCCCTGCGCCCTTCATCTCTGCGCCTAACACCTTTAGGGCTTGTGGGCTGCTTGGAGCGTACCAAAACTACAGGACCAGGCAAGCGGGTGCGGCACCTGCCAATCTTCATTAGTCGATCTGCCTACTTGTTTGCTCCCGGATGGCTGGAAAAGGGTATGGAAATTTGGGGAAGCGATGAATTTTCTTTTGACAGGGACTATTTCTTGCCGTTGCCTTCTGCAGATTGGGCGTCCGTACGCCGCGTCATGGCAGACTTTGCAGACACTGCCGCCTTGAGCAAACGTTTGTTCCGCGCATTAAAACTACCGGTGAAACAGCACAGCCATTGGGTGCCTTCTGTTGTGGAATTATTTCGCGCTGAAGCCGCATTATCTTTTTGGACCGAGCATTCGGAACGCAACTGGCTAAACAGCCACTTGGCTGTCATTGGCGTGCCGCAATCGGAGCGAGATTTCATAGGTCGTTGGCGCGTGACTTCCTCTTCTGACGAATATCAACGCCTAGCGCAGCGGGTTGTGATCAATGCCCAAGAGCAGCTACTAACCTATTTTGCTGGTGATGACAAGTGGGACCTTGGTCACGCAGGCGTGCCCGAACTTGAGCAATTTTTGCGCCAACGCCGAGTTCCCGAAGTGCTCATTGCTGAGCAATGCAAGCAATTGAGGCTACCGGCGAAGTGGTGCAGCCGGGTTCCCGAGCCCCAGGTGCCGGCTCCTCCAATGCCGGAGCCCGCGCCTGTTCAACCCATTGAAGAAAGTCAGGCCGAGTAGGCGAGCCCTTATTTTGTTGTGGTGATTGGCAAACGAGGGTTTCGCCGCTTGCACCGGCGTGGCAGATGCGGTGTATCTGCAATTGAAGTTGGGCAATCAGAGCCGTGCTGGTCCTTGCAAGGGCTTACGTATAATTTAGCTTGTCGCCACTGTTGGAAGCGTGGTGAAGCAACAGTGTCCGAGGCTGAAGAAGCAGATGATTCAGATGAATCTGATGAATCGGTTGAGGGTTGATCTATGCTCCAAGTAGCGCGGTTAGCGTGTAAGGGATAGGTAGGTAACCAGGAGATGTTTACAAGCTCAAGGGGAGAATCCCCTGCAAGCTTGGGTCTTTTGTGCGAGTCAGTCGCATGAAACCGTTTGGCGATGTTGGGTCGCTGTTTGTGTCAGCGCTGAGCGTCTGGCATGTGATACGTTTGTGCGAGTTTGTCGCATGATATGGCCATTTGGTGTGAAGATTATCACACGTTTGCTAGGGAGTTACCTAGTGCTGTGCTTTGGAAGGTACAGGGCCTTTGGGTAGATTGCGGTTGGCTAACCTTTCCGTTAGACTTTTGTAACGGTGTTTAGAGATAGCTTGGCAAGGGGTGTAGTTTTCTAAGCTGTCATGTGCTTAGGTACCAGGGTGTCCTTGCTTGTGTCATCGTTGCCGCCGCATCTGCAGCCCCCTTTGTTTGAAGCTTTGGTGATTTGCCATTGAGTGAGATTCCTTTGTATTCCTTGTTGCTAATGGCAGCTGCTTCTTTGGAGATCATCTTGAAGAAGGTGGAGCCTGCTTTGAGGTATCATATGGATGAAGCAGGTGTCTCTGCAGAAACGCAGAAGAAAGTGTATGAACAAGGAATTGTCTCCTTGAGGACGTTTGCAGGCTTGGAAGAAGATCGCAAGGCTGTCCGCACAGTGTTGCAGTCAGACTTTGGTTTGGATCCAGCGGGAAATTTGGCTCTTCGCTCAGACGTTGCATTGTTGCTGTGCGTATGGGAAAGCGCACGTACCCAGTTGTCTGTGCAAGAGAAGAATCGCCAAGAGTCCAAGCTGGGCATGCAACAGCGCATTGTGCAGCCGTCGGATTATGCAACCATGCGCAGCGCTGTGGAAGCCAAGCATGGCAGACTGAAGGATCGTGAGGCCCCAAGCAAAGGCATGATAGCCTCCAAACTTGAGCAAGTGGAAGATGGGGCACCCATTGCCGAGGATCTCCGCGAAGTGACGTCTTTTGCAGATTCAGAAGTCGAGGCCTACAACGCGATCATCGATCCGTCGATGGGGTTCTTGCGGATTCGTCCAGGCAAGACGACCACGACACCGCCAAGCACTCCGGAAGAATTGCGGCTCCGCCACAGGCGCATTGGGCTAGCCTGGGATTTTGTAAAAGCGCGTCACACCACACGCGCTTGGTTGCCTACATCATCGGTCGACACGTTCCGCAAATTGTCCGATTATGTTTTGGGTGCATCAGTCGCTGGTCTGCGCGCGGCTGACCAGCGAAGTCCCACGTGGTCTCTGGTCCTCACTTATGAGCTGGAATTGCGAAAGGCCGCTTATCGGTTTGTTCGGGATGGTGATTGTGCTGGCATCGATTCTGCAATCGAAAAGGCCATGGACAGTCCAAAGTTGTTGACAGAGCATTTTGTAGTACCTTTCACGCTGGGCAAATCATTTTCCCCTGCCAGCGGAAGCCCAGCACATGAAAAGGGCTTTGGAAAAGGCAAGCAGATGCCGTCCTGGGACAGGCAATGGGGCAAATCCTCTAAGACACCTGAAGGCAAGCCGATTTGTTTCAAGTTCCAGAAAGGGAGGTGCTCCGACAAGGCTTGTCGATTTGCACATGCGTGCCAGCATTGCTTCGGTCGCCATCCCTTCACGCAGTGCCGTTTCAAGAAGGAGGCTGGAAACGGGCGGGTGCCTGAGGAGGCGGCTTCTTGACTATCTGTGGCTATGGCAGCGACGCCCCATGCGGCGCCTATGGTGGGGGTTCAGAGTGCGCGCTTGGGGCATGACAAGCGTAGCCGTGAGCTGGATGAGGACAAGGTCGAAGATTGGGCATGGGAGCGAACAGGTGAGCTTGCATGGCAAAAATGTGAGGTGGAGTGTCAGGAAATTAGTTCAGACGAAGACATTGACAAGGTTGCGAAGCCAAAGAAGGGTGCGGGCCTATGGGGTGATGGACCGCCGCTTGCTTCAAGACTGTTGGGAAAGAGGCAGGAGTTTGCAGATGGATTTGGCTTGTGTTCTGCAGGTCGTTGGGAGCCTCACAAACGACAGTGTGCCGCTAGCATGCCATGCTTAGGTTTTGCAGAGCAGATTGGTGTTGAATTGTTGAAAATTTTGCGGAGTCATTTAGACATGCGTGCTCTGGCGATGAAGCTTGCAGTGGGTCGTGTGCAATCTACGCCCTTTTCTGATGAGCTGATTAGTGCAGGTCGAGAGCTGCTTTTCACAGCATTAGAATTTGCAGGTTCTAAATTGCCGGTGCGCGAGAGGCAGGGGGGGCAACCCTTTTTCTTAGCGGCCATTGAAGAGTTCTTGCGAATTTCGGGCGACCCCGACAGCAGAGCGTTCTACACATCAAGCAACTCCTTTGCTAAAGGAGTGCGCGTGGGGCCAAATGCCAAACTGCCTCGCGTTCCTGCCGTATTTGAGAAGAAGATTAAGTGGAGACAATACAAAGAAGAAGAGAGTAGCCTAGACATGGAGAGAGATAACTATTTGTCAGCCCGTGATCATGCTCGACTCGTTCAGAAGCAATTTGAAACTGAAGCTGCTATGGGTTGCATGATTGAGATGCCTTTGAGTGAAGCAAAGCAAAAATTTGGGGATCGGCTGGCCCTAGCGTCCTTAGGAGCGATAGGGAAGAAGGATGGATCGGTCCGTGTGATACATGACGGGACACATGGCGTTGGAGTGAATCCAGCCATTGTGGTCCGGGATCAGCTCCGCACACCAACTGCCGGTGATCTGCAAACTGTGTTGCAAGTACTACCAGGTGCGTGGTTCGGCTTGACAGGTGATGTGGCGCGAGCGCATCGGTTGGTGCGAGTTGCTGAAGAAGACTGGGGATTACAGGCGTGCAAGACAGACGTGCGCCCAGATCATATTTGGATTAATACTGTCGGAACATTCGGCATTGGGAGCGCGGCATACCATTGGAGTAGGCTCATGTCTGGGGTGGGTAGAGCTGCGTACTACCTGCTGGGGCAGAGCGAGCTATTCATTCTTGTTTACGTTGACGATTTACTTTGGATCACGCGCGATAAAGTCGGAATTGAGAAGATTATCTTGACCATTTACTTCATGACCATTGTTGGCTTGCCGTTTGCATGGAAGAAGTTTCAAGGAGGTGTGGACCTGGCCTGGGTTGGTTTCGAGTTATGCTTGAAAGGAAGTAAGCTCGGCTTGTCGTTGGCGCGATCGCAATGGTTGGTTAAGTGGCTCAGTGACACAGCAGATTTGGGTCGAGTGCGTATTGCGGATATGTCTGCAGTATTGGGCCGTCTTTCTTTTGGCTTGACTGCGCTGGGACACTTGAGGCCGTTTTTGGGGCCAGTGTACGCATGGACGGCAGCAATGACGCGAAAGGTTATCACAGGCAACCTGCCAAAGGCGATCATCTTGATCTTTAAGTTCTTGGCAAAGGCCTTAGCAGACGGTGGGCGCCTGGCATCTGTGCCACCAGCCCCGGGAGACCAGGTGGAACTGTTTCGGACAGATGCCCGCGCAGAAGGAAATGAGATTTGGATTGGCGGCTGGGCTATGGATAGCACGGAGACAAAATGCTGTAGATGGTTTTCTGAAAAATTGGATCACGTATCTGCGCCTTGGCTTTTTACTGCAGGTGAAAGCTACAGACAGATTGCATCGCTTGAGCTGCTAGCCTCGTTAGCTGCGGTTGTCGTCTTCGGGGTGCCAGTGCAAATGCGGGGCAGAATCCATTGTTCGGCTGGGACCGACAACAAAGGAAATAGCCATGTGGTTGCAAGGTTGCTCACAAACAGATTCCCCCTTGCTGCGTTTTTGATGGAGCTGGCTATGCAGTTGCAAATGGTTGGCGCGAACCTCGAGTTGTACTGGCTGCCGCGGCTTCAAAACCAGGAAGCTGATGCGCTCACAAACAACGATCTGACTAGATTTGATGAGCAGCTGCGGCAAAGGTTTGACTTGGCCTCATTCAAAGGACTGGTCTTGTCAGACATGCTAGCTTGCGGAACAGAGCTGTATGAAGAGATTAAGGTAGCGCGACAGCGAAAAGCAGTACAACATGCGCAACGTGGACGAAAGTCGGACGCGCTTAAAGTGGCGCAGCCCTGGGGTTGAAAAAAGGGTGCGTGGGGGGCGTGCAGGATGATAGCCACGTCGCATGCTTTTCAAGTTGGGATTTAAGTTGTCAGCGGCGTGGCTGATAGAAGACGTTTGACCGTGGTAGGCGGTTGTTGTTTCATGCTGCATGGATTTTGAGAATTTCTTGGGTGCAGTGTGTTTTTCCACCACACCGTAGGAAGAAAAGTTAGTGCGGACTCGATTGCGGTTCTGCAGGGTTTAATGGAAGAGTGAGCTGATGCATGGCAATTAAAGTTTGGTTTTGTCTGTTGTGGGGACTGGAGTGGATTTTGGGTGTGAACCTCTTACTGTACAGTTGTGTTTGAACTTCAGCAGAGTTAATAGGACCACAGTAAGGTAGGATCTCGGGAACCTCTGTCTGGAATGTTGTGTTTAAACTTTGGCGGGTTGATAGGACCAATGTGCGGTAGGATCCCGCGGGTCGACACGCAGGGGCGAGTAGTGGGATTCGATAGCACCCTTATCGTTGAATGTTGCAGTAGGTGTAGTTGTCTTCGTTGTGGTGCTAACTTTACTTTGGGCAAAATAACTGGACGACCCGGGTTCGAATGTTCATCATGTTTCTGGATGCCTTACTTTTATGTGAACTTGGTCCACTTGATTGGTTGTGACTTGATCTCTGGGTGAGTCATGAGTTTCCATGATGTGCTTCGCGTGTGGACACACGGGACTACATTAGAGATAGGATCTCTGGCTGTTCATGTGGGTTTGCATGAAGTTTATCGCCTGTCATGTGGACACATGAGTTTCGATTTAGAGATGTGAGTCTCTTGCTTGTCATGTGAGATTAACATGAATGTTTGGACCTGTCATGAGGATTCATGACAAGATTGCTAGCTGGCCACTAGCGGTTTGGGCGTAACGGTTTGGTTGCGCGTTTAGCGTAACGGATTGGTTGCGCGGAGGGCCGCGGCGTTGGTGATGTTCAGTGTTTCTTGAGCACCCACCCGCCCGCCCTGGATTTAAGTTGTCAGCGGCGTGGCTGATAGAAGACGTTTGACCGTGGTAGGCGGTTGTTGTTTCATGCTGCATGGATTTTGAGAATTTCTTGGGCGCAGTGTGTTTTTCCACCACACCGTAGGAAGAAAAGTTAGTGCGGACTCGATTGCGGTTCTGCAGGGTTTAATGGAAGAGTGAGCTGATGCATGGCAATTAAAGTTTTGTTTTGTCTGTTGTGGGGACTGGAGTGGATTTTGGGTGTGAACCTCTTACTGTACAGTTGTGTTTGAACTTCAGCAGAGTTAATAGGACCACAGTAAGGTAGGATCTCGGGAACCTCTGTCTGGAATGTTGTGTTTAAACTTTGGCGGGTTGATAGGACCAATGTGCGGTAGGATCCCGCAATTGTTCTTTGCGATGCCTTGTGATCGTGCTGGCCCTGGCCGCATCGCCAGTTGCTGCCCAGCAAGCCGATAGCTTGTCGCAAGAGCAGCTCAAACCGCTAAGCCGCTAACGGAGTATCGGCAGCAGCATCGCCGCCTGGTGCAGACAACCTTTGCCGAATGATGCTGATAGCCGGGCTTTTTTGTTTTTCTTCTTTGTGAGAAGCAGGTGGACGGGCGGCTTTGCGCAGCAGCCTTTGTGCAGGTTGAGAGTTGAGAATTTGCTTCCTGCTTAAGCGCGTGCAACCATGGTTTTCGCTTGTATGCTCAGAGGACTCACGCGTTTACACTGGCTGCACTGACGTCACAGCCTGAGACGCTTTCCTCTCACTCATGTCTGGTGTGCTTGCTGCAGCTGTTTCGCCCTGCAGGCGCCTAACCCTCAAGGAGCCAGCGGCCGGGAATGGTGCTACATTGAGCCGCAGGCTGGGTTGTGCTGCTTGGCAAATGCTTTGCTGCCTGGCTGGTGCATGTGGCAGCTGGCAAGTGGGCTGAGCGAAGCGGCGTGGGGATTCTGCGGTGCGCACTGCTTCTCCTTCCCCTTTCCTGCACGGGTGAACGTGGGCATTTGGTTTTGTTGCGTCAGCGCCAGGATGGCTGTTGTAATGCATGCTCACCAAGAACAAGCGGGTGTTAGATATAGCCTTTGTGTTTGCTGGCAGTTGTAGATTATGAAGCCCTTCGAGAAGAAGCAGCTCATGCTGCCAAAGCAAAGGCGCAAACAGTGCGAGAATATGTGGCCAAGCTTGGCAAAGCACAGCGCGCCGCAGAAGAAACGCTGGAGATGTGAGCTTTTGATCCGATGACAGCGGGGCCAGAGTTAGGTTGGCCAATGATGTTTTGCAGGTATCGCCGAAGATGCGGTGCTTGAGCTAGGTACAAAAAGCCCGATGCATGCAGAACAGCAAGCCTCCGAGAAAGGCTCAGCAGCAACCCAAATCAAACTTTGCAATGGTGGGATGCAAGCGGTGAAACGTATATGCCATACTTGCTACAAGGCCATACTTGCTCCTTTTTCCTTTCTTGTGCAGCAACCTTCTTCCACGAAACCGCATGATCTTGAAACAGTGGCAGTTTCATGAAGCTGCGACTATCCGCAGACACGTGCGAGATCTTGTTAATTAGTACATGCGACCTAGAGAATATCTTGGGTTCATTCAACCAAAGTGTGACCATTGACGGCGGAAATCCAAATCACATGGATAGACATTGGTAGAAATTCAATCCGAATCCTTGTTTCAGCGCTTGCTTGCACACCTTAGGTCCATTGCCTTCTAATTGCGAAGTTTGAAAGATTGGCACTGCGTGAACTTCATGGACACACATCATGATTTTCCGAAGCAAGTGGACAGCAGTTGCCCCAACAAGCGGTAAAAGCAACCTTACACACAGGAGCACATTGTTGGCTTCTCGCTGCGACATAGTTTGTACGTAAGTTTGCACTGTGGCGGCTGCGGCAGGTTTGGTGGCAGTTTTTCTTTTGCGATTTTGTGCTGGAATTCCTTCTGTGGAAAACGCTTCTGACAATAATGTCGGCAGTGGGGGCCAAGGGGCACTGGGCTGGGCTGGGATACGGCTAGTGCGCCTGTGGAACCCAACTGAATGTTGTCCTGTGTGTTGGCTGTGACTTGTTTTTCTGTGTTGCTTGTGTTGGCTTTGCTTGCTCGGAGTACATGTGCAGCCCTGCTGCTTTGGCAGCTTGGTTGGGTGGTAGGGAAGCTGTAGAAAAGCGCCTGCTCAATTGAGGCATGTTTTGCTTGTTCTACACCCAAAACCACCCTTTGGTGGACTGGGCTGGCTGCGGTCTGCTTGTTGCCCGGTGTGCTGGCTGCAGCCATGCCTGTGTGGCAAAGTATTTTGCAGGGAAAAAGTGTGTTGTTTGTGTTTGGCAGTTTGGTGCCTTTTAGTAGAGTGGGTTGGAAATCAGCTTTTGATGCATGCCTGTGGAGCTATCATGGGAACACACGTGGCCGTGCTGGCCTTTGTCAAGGGGCTGCTTGAAGGTCACTGGTTACGGTGGGGGATCTATTAAAAAAGTGAGTGCATGAAATCTCTCGGTCGTGGCAGTATTGCAGAGCCTGTTTCGGTTTTTGGGGTGTTGAAATCGCATTTGACGGCACGATGGTTTGCAATTGTTCTTTGCGATGCCTTGTGATCGTGCTGGCCCTGGCCGCATCGCCAGTTGCTGCCCAGCAAGCCGATAGCTTGTCGCAAGAGCAGCTCAAACCGCTAACGGAGTATCGGCAGCAGCATCGCCGCCTGGTGCAGACAACCTTTGCCGAATGATGCTGATAGCCGGGCTTTTTTGTTTTTCTTCTTTGTGAGAAGCAGGTGGACGGGCGGCTTTGCGCAGCAGCCTTTGTGCAGGTTGAGAGTTGAGAATTTGCTTCCTGCTTAAGCGCGTGCAACCATGGTTTTCGCTTGTATGCTCAGAGGACTCACGCGTTTACACTGGCTGCACTGACGTCACAGCCTGAGACGCTTTCCTCTCACTCATGTCTGGTGTGCTTGCTGCAGCTGTTTCGCCCTGCAGGCGCCTAACCCTCAAGGAGCCAGCGGCCGGGAATGGTGCTACATTGAGCCGCAGGCTGGGTTGTGCTGCTTGGCAAATGCTTTGCTGCCTGGCTGGTGCATGTGGCAGCTGGCAAGTGGGCTGAGCGAAGCGGCGTGGGGATTCTGCGGTGCGCACTGCTTCTCCTTCCCCTTTCCTGCACGGGTGAACGTGGGCATTTGGTTTTGTTGCGTCAGCGCCAGGATGGCTGTTGTAATGCATGCTCACCAAGAACAAGCGGGTGTTAGATATAGCCTTTGTGATTGCTGGCAGTTGTAGATTATGAAGCCCTTCGAGAAGAAGCAGCTCATGCTGCCAAAGCAAAGGCGCAAACAGTGCGAGAATATGTGGCCAAGCTTGGCAAAGCACAGCGCGCCGCAGAAGAAACGCTGGAGATGTGAGCTTTTGATCCCATGACAGCAGGGCCAGAGTTAGTTGGCCAATGATGTTTTGCAGGTATCGCCGAAGATGTGGTGCTTGAGCTAGGTACAAAAAGCCCGATGCATGCAGAACAGCAAGCCTCCGAGAAAGGCTCAGCAGCAACCCAAATCAAACTTTGCAATGGTGGGATGCAAGCGGTGAAACGTATATGCCATACTTGCTACAAGGCCATACTTGCTCCTTTTTCCTTTCTTGTGCAGCAACCTTCTTCCACGAAACCGCATGATCTTGAAACAGTGGCAGTTTCATGAAGCTGCGACTATCCGCAGACACGTGCGAGATCTTGTTAATTAGTACATGCGACCTAGAGAATATCTTGGGTTCATTCAACCAAAGTGTGACCATTGACGGCGGAAATCCAAATCACATGGATAGACATTGGTAGAAATTCAATCCGAATCCTTGTTTCAGCGCTTGCTTGCACACCTTAGGTCCATTGCCTTCTAATTGCGAAGTTTGAAAGATTGGCACTGCGTGAACTTCATGGACACACATCATGATTTTCCTAAGCAAGTGGACAGCAGTTGCCCCAACAAGCGGTAAAAGCAACCTTACACACAGGAGCACATTGTTGGCTTCTCGCTGCGACATAGTTTGTACGT